TACCAATTCCAGGTAGGCAATAAAAAGTTCTACTGGATTCACTTTGTATTAGTCTTCTTCCTGCTTCACAAAGGTAGCAGCAGCTTGACAAAGCCATGATGGCAATTATTTTACATCCAAGTAGTATGCAGTTCTTCATAAATACAAACACACATACATTTCAAACAGATGGTACCTGTATAGTATCGGTATCGGACGATACTGCACAGCCAAGTATCTGGGCCAATAATGGCATCGGCGCAAAACTACCAATAACTTCACGTGTTAAAACTGATTAAATTGATACATTTTTCTAGATTTCTCTCTATGCATTAATGTTTTTTTGTTTTTCTTTGGGGCTTTTTATAGCCCTCATCAAAAACCGCCAGTTGTGACCCAAACCAGATCTAAAGGATAGACAATACTTTTAAAAACTCAAAGCACTTGTTACCTCTTTTCTTTTATGATGTGGAACAGCTCCTTATTTCGAATTGTTTGCTGCACTTCCTCCTTACCGATTTATCTGTGCAGCAGCTTTTTTTTTATTCAATAAACTTAGCTTCCATAATATATACACACATTCCATCTTCGCTTTATTGCATTTACTCTCTTAGGTCTGTCTCGTCAATGTTTATGTGATTCAATCTACTATTTAATAAAACTGATGTTCCCAATTTGTCAGCAATGCACCTGTTGTCAGAACTCTTTACCTATTTTTCTCTGAATACCAGGAAAGGACTGCAGACATACCAATGAAAATAGAGGATTGGGTGAATATGCTGTTGGACTTCCTTATCGGCTACAGGATGAAAATAAATCTTATTCACTGTAAATATCTTATCAAACCATTTTTTAAATATTGTTAAATCTAAATAATGTATTACCTAAAATGCATATGCTGCAGTGCAGTAGGTGTAATTAGGATTTTAATACTCTTCCTCTATCATGTTAGAGTAATCTTTCACCATGGGGCTGGTCTTGGAAATAAAACTACAGACTACATCAGCGATAATTAAAATTCCCCCTCTATTTATAATGTTCCTTCCACAGGCCTTTGGCTATACCAGGAATCAAACACAAACTGGTTGGTCATAAACGGTCATAAATAAAAGCTACATTTCTTATCCTAGTCCCTTTATAACCTCAACGCAAAACAATTCCTTATATGAAGAAAAAAAAAGTGTTTCATCTCTTTTTAGTCGGTAATGTAGTTGAATATATTCACAGAGCTGTGCATTGATAAACATGTATCATCTTTTGTCACATCTCATAGCTGTGGAAATAATATTTAACAAGAAGTATATCAAACATTTTCCTTTGAATGCTTTTGCACAAAATGTTAACCAAAAACCCCAAAAATTATTCCAAATAATTTAAAGAAAAGTTTTTTTTTCTTAAATCTATACTGCATTAGTATTACTTTGGCTAAATCTCAAATGTTGGCAAAAAATTTAACATTTCCCATGAAGTTGTATAGTTTGATGTTCTTTTATACTTTTGGGAGAAAACTTCCCGCTGTGTTTGAAAAATGTGAAGTTTACATGATACAAGCAATTATGCACTGACACGTACTAAACCACCATGTCTTCACCTATTCCCCACTAGAGACGAAACAAACCCAGATCCAGCAGTCATTGTTAAACAACTTGGAAGCATTGTGGCAGCTATTCCCATTGAGTAAGGTATAAGAAGTAAGAGACTTTAAAATGCAGCTACACGCAAGTTATGATAGAAAAAGGTGTCTAATACATTAGATGATAAACAATACTGGTGACATAAGTCACCATAACAAGTAGGCAGTTATATAATTTAAATCCAATAGGAAAAAATAAAACACCTCGGAATTAGGCTAATAGCATATATCATGCATTCAATCATTTATTTCCACTCTGTGATAAATGTTATACCTGCACGATATACCGTACCAGTGATAAATACATGTGTGCTTCTAAAGCTTTATAGTTCAGCAACAGAAAGCTAAGAGAGTACATATAATGAGATGTCTCATTATATAACATCAGCAGATGAGAAAGAACTGTGGAAATATTGAAAGCCTGACTGCTAAATACTAGCTATCATGTTTTGAAAAATTATAATTTATTCTATTTCCTTAGAAAGCTTTTTACTTTCTCTCTGAAATGCATGAGAGATTTTCATAGCCACCATTAACTATGCAACCAGGTATCAACAGTCAGAAGATAAATGCCACCAGCTTAAGATAAGTGCCATCTACTGTTCAAACAGCATCAGAAGGGTGAATATATTTTAGATTATAAAGGTTATTTAACCTCATTCATGCATTAAAAGTATTGTGGAGGATCTTTGCCATCTTTCTGCACATGCACAACCCTGTACCTTCTCCATAGAGGGAACGCCTATTAAACCCGTCCAGGAGCCCATTTCTCATTGTACACGGGCTGTTTAAAAGTTGCTGTTTGCATCACTCATACGAAAAAGATTTGCAATTTTTCCACTATGTCAGACTCACCACTGGTAAGTGAAAATGAGGATGAGCACGTAGGATTGCCTTATGTAAACACATCACCAGAATGATTGACAATTAGGAGGAACACTTATTTTGCTGATCCACCCAGAAAAACAACATCCTCCACTAAACCTTCAAATAATATAAAATACTTATTTATTTCTTTTCCCTTTGCATAAGATTTCAGTTTTAAATGTAATAAAATGTTTTGATTGATCCATGTCCTACGGATATGATTTAGTTAAAATAAAATATTGGATACAGGTACCCATTTTATGTTTCAAAATACAAACATGTTATATTAGAAACCCCTCAGTAGCATGTTTGATTATTTTTTTATTTTCTTAGTTCAACAAGGGTTATTTTCATGTTTAAGTGAAGTCTCTCGCAAATTGCATTTTTTTTTTTTTTTTTTTAGTTCTTGGAGCCTAACCAAAAAAAAACAAAACAACAACCATCCAATAAAGCACCAACACGGTTCTATTAATAATTTGTTGATGGAGATTTTCTTTTTGAATCTGTAATGCACTGATTCATTGTTTAACTCCATTACTCAGGCTGGAATAGGATTAAGAAACCTGTCTAATGTCATCCGGTCAACCAAAAGCGAAAAACAGCCAAAAGCAACAGAAAGCCAGAGACAGAAGAGATTAGCGTCACCTGCACTGGCTCTAAACCAAACCACCCAGCACCAAGAAAGGAAGCAGTAGTGTCTTTGCAAGACATGCTACTGGAACATCATGTGAGGGCTTAGGAGGTCAACTTAGATTTGTTTTCTCCTGGTGATGAGGTCACACACGCATCATTGAATCATTGCAGTTTCTCTGTTATATTTTCACCCAATATGCACCTGAAATGTTTCACTTCATGATAGCATCATTTTTTGGTAAGAGAACTATTCCTTTTTACCAAGGTTCTTAATTAGGGCAAGGGAATGAAGCAATGTGAACAACCTGACCAATATCATATGTTAGAATGAGCTATAATGCATTTAATTCCAATTAGGAACTGCACAGCATTCTGGGGGATGTAGGCAGAGGAGATAATTTGGCCTCATAACTTCTCATGGCCAAGCTAGGCAAGGCTGTTAGTAGGGCTGATATCTGTGCAAGGTTTAAATGTAACATTTAGGGTTTTGGTTATAATTGAAGTTTTGCAGTTGTTCCATTGGTCCTTATTTCAGATAGATAATGATAGAAATAAAATCCACAACTATCAATATCGATAATATGAAAGATTTTTTTAGCCATATCACACAGGCTTTTGGTTAAAGAAATTTTTGTTAACTTATGTCAGGGTAAATTTTTTATTAAATGCTCAATTCTTCCCATAATGCTCTGCCATGTTTTGAGTTCTGTTTGGCTTAAAAGAAATAAAAAAAAGAAGAAAAGTTTTTTTTTTTTGTTTTTTTTTTTGAGAGACTTCAAGACACATAAATTATTTCTGCTTTTTTGAGGATGTTTTTTTTTGGGTTCTATAGGGTGCGTTCTTACTTTCTCTGCTATCTGGAGGCTTGGGTCACTTTTAGAAACAAATGCAGTCTGCAGGGTATTGTAAAAATATGCAGTGAAAATGCAAGCTTATCTCTAAATAAACTTTGTGACCTCTAAATCACCAGATATCTAAAGAAGGCTAAAATCATCCTGGCTGCCTGCTGCCATTCTTAATGTGGAGAATTTTCCCTGCTAGCCTCAGGTAGGGGGTACAGGACGCCCCGCTGTAGAACAAACAGACAAAAACAATCTATTGCTTCTGCTGCTGTCAGTTTGGTGAACTCTACAGTGTGAAGAAAAAAAAGTTTTCTTTTTTGATTGTTGTTGTGAGCTTGTTTTAATGCCGTCGGCTCAACAAATGGCCTTTGGAAGATAGTAAAGTTTACTTTTGACCTTTGATCAAAATTGAGGAGAGCTGGTCTAATTTAACGGGTTAAGGTGAGGCAGGAAGAGACTTTTCTTTCCATCTTCCACTCTGTCAGTCTCTCTTCTCTTGCAGAGCGGCACACAGGTTTCTGCCACAGAGAAGCAGATTTTCCGGGCCTCAAAACGGAGCAGGATCTGTTTGATGAGCCTATTTGTATTCTGCAGCCATGCTGCTTCTGCTGACCTGGGAATGAGAGATACTGGAAGGCAGCAGTGTTATCTGACCAACAGGCCACCCTTGGTCCTTGCCTCCTTCCACTTCTTTCTTGCCCACCGACCAAATGCCTCTTGGTGCCTTTAAATCCCTGTGTTTGCATTGGGCTGGTCAGATGTTGCTCAGTTAATGCCTATTGTTTGACAAAGGATTCTGGCTCAGAGGGCTCCCACCCCCATGGAGTAAGGTATGATAGTGTGAAAGGACCGATGCATTTTGAGTCACACTTTGCAAAATGAGCATAATATGACTGCTTGCCTCCTAGGCAGTCAGTTTTTTTTACTCAAACGTGGTTAAGTGACCTTTGAAATAAAAAAAAGCAGATGGTGTCCAGTGTTTCAGAAGCTGTACGGACCTTTCATCTTTTTGCTACAGGACAAATGATAAATGACGCTGGCTGTACCTGAGGGAAAGTGCTCGTTGACCGGCCAGTTGTCCACTTGCAAGGTCGCATTGCCCCCATTCCTTGTGAATCGGACCAAATGGTACTTGCCATCGTTTACCTCTGTGTTTGGCTCCTTAACGCTTATGTCCACCGTCCCAATGTTGAACGTCACTCCGATTTTGCCTTGCTCCTGGAGGAGACAGAGAAGAAAGAGTTGAAACCAAGCCTCAAACAGGGTTGCTAATTTACTTTTTATCTTTGATAACAAGTGCTCCTTCAGTAAAATCTAAGTTTTCCAGGTACCACACCAAAAGAAATTTGAAATTTTTCCCTTTTTTATGTTCTGTGTAAGAATAAAAAAAAAAACATAGCTCCTATTCAGGGGAAGTGCTTGTTTGAAGGACATGGTTTTGATTAGCATTCCTTTTGCACACAGAAATCAGACTTGGCAAATTCCAAGTTAGAAAATTAAACAGAATGGTGCAATTGAAGTTCATGTTTCAAGATTGAAACCCATTCCCAAAATCCAATTTTGCATCCATGTGACTAAAACTGTTTCAATCAATATGCAAAAAGCACCAACAGTGGGTTTGTTGTGGTTCCCAGATCCTAACTCCAAGTTTAGGGGTTAATAAGGACCACAAGGACAGCAGTTGGGAGTTCTGCAAACATTTCTCCCCATGCTTCTCTTTTGGTAGTTATTTATGATCAGCATGCTTAAACATCTTATTTTACTTTCCTTTAAATTTACCTTTTGTTGAACCCCAAAGGTACTCTAAGTACCGTTGAAGAAAATATAAGTACTTGAGAACCTTGGCTGTAATAAAGCCCTCTAGAGCATATATGAAGCTGCAGCCACTGTTTTAATCTGTAAGTAATTTATTTAAGGACCTATGTGTCTATATGAGTGTTCTTATATAGGATTAGTAAAGTTAAAATAAAGCTATAGACTTACTGACCATGAGTTTGGTAGAACAGCACAGTATACGGAAAATATCACAATCACAATATTAAAATAGCAAAGGCCTGCTCTGGGGTGCAATACTTGTTTGGTTATTATATTTCGAGAGCTGCACACTTGGGCTATGCATACTATTTAGAAAACGGGCCAGTTTAAAGAACTTAGACATTTAAAGTGTCACAAACTTAACTTATATGAATCCCAAAGCTCACAGAGAGTAATAGGGATGTCAAGATGATGGAAAACATATCAAAGTCACAACTCCTAATATCATAAAGGCATAAGCAAAACATAGGACAACATAGGATTGTGCAACAATATCACATTAGGTACAAAATAGATTTGAGGCTCCAAAGATACTAAACATCAATATCTTGGAAATATGGAAAAGAAAATAAACTGTTCTGGCACTGGTGCTTGCGATGGGGTCGGGTGAGTGTTGCTTTTTTATTTAGGTGATCCATCTGAGAAAAGAAATGTATCCACGGCTTCCTAGCAAAACAACTCTCCATTTTTATGTCAAGTCTAACAAAGGCTTATGTAAAAGGATATTTCATATAAGCTGTTTATATATATATATATATATATATATATATATATATATATATATATATATATATATTTTTTTTTTTTTTTGAAATTTTTTTTTTTTTTTTTTTGAAATCCAAAAGGTGGTGGGGAATAAAACATTGTTTTTCTGTATACCACTGTAGCATGTAGCTGTTTAAGAAAAGTCTCTCTCATATTATATATTTACAGAGAATGAAGGCATTTAAAATGTGTTTCTCTAAATAATAATAAGAATTTGATCATTTCCATGGGAACTTAGAACCCAAAGGCAGGACCAATAGAATCCAGGCTACTTGAAGCATTAAAAGAGCAACTATGTGAGTCTATAACACAGAGCCAACACCACTTTCTATAACCAATTAACTTGTAAATGTCTTTAAAATTAGTGAAAGGTACCTCTTAAAAAAGACCAACATTACATGGACCACAACTGTCCATCTTCAATTTAGAGAACATCTGAACTGCATCTCGGTCATGTTTTCCACTACATGTGTTGTCGTGCAGTGATGAATTAATTACACGGTAAACTAACTGTAAAAGGTTCAATAAAGTGACTTGGCTGATTGCTCGCGGCTGGTGCTAATGTTGAACTGCATGGAGAACCTAAGGACGCTTCATTATACAAGTGTAATGTGATGAAAATAAGCTGCCAGCAGAGATTGTAATGATGAGTAATACTCCCTGCAGCCTGTCACTATATGAAACTGGCAGGGCAGATGCCTCGTTCAGCCGCCGTCCTTAAAAAACGTATGAACACCATATGTTTTGCTTAACTCTCAATGCTAAAGCATTTGTATCATGTCCATAAATCGTCTTGGCTTTTCCTTTAATTTTCTGACTTCATTCCCGTTCAACCCTAATTTTCACTAGTGTGCAAGCATCTTTTACTGCGACGGCTTCTGTATTCATGGAAGAGTAGGCGTTTAGAAGCAAGAGGCTTCAGAGCCTGAGTGAGTGGCAACAGGGAAGAGCTGTGTTTTCCGTGTCATTTGTTTTAATCCCCCATAGGGAGTCTCTCTGTGTAATTACTTTCTTTAGAAGCCGACAGCAGTGGGACCATTCCTCATAACAAATCCAAAATGAGGGGGCTTTGAGCACAGGAGCAGACACATGTTGCTAATTGATCAGCTAAAGCTCTGACCCAACATGGCTGACTGGTAAAAGTCCGGACCCTGATTATGTTGAGCAGAACCTGACAGTGTTTGCCAGAATGACAGTACAACACGACAGCTCCGGCTTTCAGAGGATGACACATCGCTTAAACCTGCTGACCTCGATTAAATGTCACAATCTCCTCATACCTCAGAAGAGCGCTTCATCAGGCCAACAGTTCCTCAACGCAGATTGCATCAGCACAAATAATCAGATTAGATGAAGACACAAAGACCTGAAAAGGGAGGCATGTAGTCTTTGTTTATACTCTGTAGATGCATCTCTCACTGCATCAAGACTTTATAGGCATTTCTCTACTTTGAAGTCTTGCTATAGACTCCAAAAAGCATTAAGGTCTGGACTTTGACTAGACCATTCAAGTATATTTAATATTTTGCAAAGCAGTGGTCTCAATCTCCAGTCCTAAAGGACCATTGTACTGCAACATTTAAATTTGCTGCTATGGAGGGCCACCTATGAGATAATAAAATAAATACAGAAATAAATGCTCGATGAATAATAGGCATACAATAAAATGGACCGAAAATTCAGAAAATAAATAAATAAATGCCGGGAGTAATTAAATTATACAGCAAAAGATAAATGTATTCATATTTTTAATTAACTACTTTTTTATTTACCATTGTAATAATTCCTAATTTTAACTATGATGAATGCAGTCCAACCAAACAACAGCCAGATGTTGTCCACTTAAGACCGCCTCTTGCTTTTTTAAATAATGAGAAAGAATTGCATACAAAAATAGAAAAAGTGAATAAAATCAGAGCAATAAAAATAAATTAGGAAAGGTTTACAAAGCTGGATTTCAAAAGACCAACTGGACTTATTGAATTGCAAGAGTGAGCTAACAATGCATTGGATTTATTGTAAATGTAAAATTCCTTAAATTACATTGGTATTTGGGAGTCCAATGTGAGCAAAGTAAAAAAAAAAAAAAGAAAAAAATCAGATGGCACTGTAAATATTAATTAATAGTTAAAATAAACATAAGCATTATAGTTGATGTAAGAACAATATCTCCTTAAAAGAAAAAATGAAACTCACCTTTTAATGTGGAGTACATATGTTTTACTTCTTAGCAAATCTGTTTTGGGATTATGAAGACAAACATATTTTTCTCTCTTGAATTAAGGTACGATGCAACATTTTCCCTAAGACGTTAAAAAACAGAAAGTTTCATGATAAAACTCTGCTTTGCTCTGCATACAGCTAATTTCCCAACAAGGCCTCTTATAAAATAACTTTGTTGTTACAGTTAAGACATCCTTCCCTTTTAACAAAGAAGACATGCAGAATAAGCTTCAGTCGGACCAGGTTGAGAGGTGCAACAGAGCATCTTTCCTCGGCGCAGTTAATAATGGAAAAGGGCCGACAAAGACATGAGAAAGCCATTTCCTAAAAGCTGAGGTTGCGCTTAGAGAAAAAGTCAGACAAGCTGATTGCTCCAATGTGCACTTCCCTTCTCTGTCACAGAGGCTGTAAATGGGCTCCTAATGTAAATGCTTGTCATTAAAACTTAGTGGGATGCGCGATTAGATGTGAGGAACGTGTGGGCGCAGGCGTTTGGACATGCATATGGCAAAACACACATAATCAATGAATCGCAGACAAGATGATAACAATCTGTTGATGAATTCATGTGACAGGAGCATTTCCTATACTTTGTTCCATGGAAGATATTATTAAATCATCTGGGCCTGACTGGAAAAAAAAAAGAAAAGAGAACACATTAGATGGGTGATGTAAAAGCAGAAGCAGTGCCTAGTATATCCGCTATGACCTTCAGAGGATCTGGCAGCCATCGCTCTCCTGTGTAGCTGCATCAAAGCCGACCCACTTAATACCTACAAACAAAGGCAGATTGTCACCCAGCCTCCCCTGGCTTTGTTGCAAACAAACAGAAAAACATGACAATTGTAACCCCTTGTAACTGTTGCTGCAAGCTTCCAGACAAGAATCGGGTAATATATGGCCCACAGGTCAAACCCGCCGCACTCTAAATTCCCTCAACTGGTCCAAATGAAAACTGTGGATCAAACATGGACAAATTATAAATGCTGTGCTAGAATTCAAATATGCATCCCCTTTAAAAAGAAAAAAAGCAACAAAAGAAAACAAAATGAAAAGCTTACAGTCTTTTATCCTAATAGGTTCATATAATCCGGCAGGAGAGAGGCATTGGAATCAGCATCTGTTATCAGGGAATGAAGCTGGTTACTCTTCAAAACTTTGAAACAATGACAGAATGAGGAGTTTTTAGCTAAGATGTTGAGCCATCTGTTTGTGTGTTGGAGGAAGGTAGGACTATAGGTCTTAAGAAATACAACATGGCTAATCTTCAAGTGTTCTTTTTTGCAAAAAAAAAAAAATATTATTTTTGTTATTGAGTATAATTATTTAAATACTATAGCTATGTGTGTATTTGTATTAGACTTTTATTCTTCTCTTTATGTGCATCTCAAACTAAAGTTTCCATTATTTTTTTA